ACAAGGAAATGCTTGACCATCGGTGTTGTGGTAGCCAGTGTCGGAAGTAAGAATTTATGTAGTGATTCAGTTCCGGATAGCGTAGGGAGTTTCGAGAAACTCCAGAAAAGGCTCCGTGGGAGTACGCTCCCAGAAGTATATGGAAAGATGACCATTGCCATCGAGAGTGGGATTTCTGCTCGAGGTAGGTCTGCTTCATTTGAGTGGCAAACTCGAGGAGGATGTTCTCACAGGTGTCCATGTCGAATCGCTGTCGCAGACGAGCCTCACGGCACATTGACTCCATATTGAGTCGACTCGCTTCCATCACCTGCGTGTCCAAGTAGTAATCGTCCTCCTCAAGGTCGGTGGTTTCATCATGTTCGAAGAGTACATGATGTACGGAAGTCTCACCGCTAGACCCGGTAGTCGATGGTAGTTCATCACGTTGTTGCAAAAGTCGCACATGCCGGTGAGGAGCAGTGCGTTCTTGCCAGTGCTTCGAAATTGCTTGCACCAGCTTCCATGGGTAGTAGGCGACTGTGTCGTTCTCGTGGCCCTCTCGGTTGTAGTGCTTACCGTGGGATCCGGGGCAGATCTTCGCTCTGAAGTTGTGGTGGAATGACTCATCCGTGGTTTTGATAAGCCACGGCTTGCGAATGAATTGACCACTTTCATGATCCCGAAGTCCGTAGTTGCACCCATCCACTCGGCATTGCAGCCATGGAATGCCTTGTTCTTCCATGTGTCGCTGTAGATCTTCCATTGCCGCTTGCTTCCAACCGCCCGAAGGATGAGGCCATTCAAAGTAAATGTCCACGGAGGGGTCTTCCTCCAGCGACTCTTTGATGAACTTGTTCACCTCCCATAGCAGTCGACGTTCACGTCGTCGGCCATGCTCGAACTTTGTCATCTTCTCAGCCGTGTTGTAGTTTGAAGAAGACCATACGGACCACTTGGAACATGGAAGGCTAAACCACAATCGGCGGGGTCGATGTTGTTGTCGTAGTTCACGTAAGCACTCCCATGTTTGTTGTTGGTACAGATCATATCCGCTCGCGAAGTTGATCCGCCGGGGTTTCAGACCATGCTCCTCTGCTGCTGCGCTCAGCCAGGCATGAGGTGCACCTGAAATTTCCCAGAGTCCATCACGGTCGTGTAGATGAAGACCAACCAAGAGTTCCATCGTTGCGGCGACCAGCATAGCCGACATAGCCATGACCTTCTTGCCCATGGGGGGCGACAGGTTGTAGTCGCCATCCACCGCTGTCCCATCCTTCACGTGTAGCCGCCGGTCGCCTCCTGCTCGTAGGCCTGGACCAGCTCCTCGTCGTCCTCTGGCACTGCCACTTCCCAGCTTGCGGTCGTGGTAGTCGGGGATACATGGACCGTTGTTGTCGGGACGGCCCTTGACGAAGAGCTCTGGTTCTTCACATCCCGGATGGCCTTGTTGAGGACCTCCTCGGCGTTGATCTTCGCCAGCATGTGCCTGCAGATCTGTGCCGTTGGCAGCGCGTTCTCCATGAGAGGGCGAAGTTCTGTCAGCATCCGGGTGATCATGGCCGGGTTCTCCACGGTGGTGTGCTGGGACGTAGATCCCTGCCTCGGTGTGTAGAGCAGACGTAGGTTGCACGTTGAGCACACCACCCATTCGCCGTGGGCGTTGGACTGCGGGGAGCTCGGAATGTGCTGGCCCATACAAGGCCATTGATTCGTCCGAGCCCTTGGGTCTCTCACATCCATCTTCATGACCCTTGATCGGTCCAACGGCTTCGCCTTCGACTTCGCGGAAGTGGCCTTGGCCTTCAGAGAGGCCACCATGATTTGCTCCACCTCTGGATCCACCACCTTGGTCGCTCGGGGTGCTGCCGCCATGCGTCACAAGGGAACTCGGAGAGGAAGTTGTCGGGAGTTGGGGGGCAGATTGCCCGCACATCTGAGCTGAGATCACTGCTGAGGTTTCGCGGGAATAGTTGTACAGCTGCCACATGCGATCTCTGGCTTGTGCTTCCGAGCGCTCTCTCAGGTCACTGTCGCTGGCATTCAAATCAAACCACACAGCTCCTAGTTCGATACAAGCATGAGAGGTGTAGTTGGATTGCGATGCGGTGGATGAACGAACAACGACATGAGGCTGACCTTCGTGACACTGGGCTCCCTTAGTTAGGTAGTTCACAATGTCCAGGGTGTAGTGTCCCTTGTGGTTCACATCAAGCTTGAAGATTTGAGGATTACTGTCAGCAGTGAACATAGCAAGACCATTCGCGAAGTCAACCATCAACCCTGCGCCGTTACGACCCATGAAGTCCATGCCAATCAAGACTGGTACCAACGACGACTGCTCGAACCCAGACTGATAGTACTCCGAAGGGTTTGGCAGGGTGTAGAGGGAAAAGGAACGATGGGATCCCGAGACTGAGCTTGAGATATGAATCCGACATAGTGCTCGACCCCACCGCCCGTTGCCGAAACGAAAGTATGGCCGCGCACCTTGGTCCAGTTCAATCTTGGCATTGCGATCGTGAGACAGGACCGTGGAGATAAGTCCTTGGACTACAGCATCTGGTGCAGCGGATGCCGTTGCTCCGCTGTCAAGCATGCCGACCTGTGGCTTCAAGTCGGGCTTCTTCAATTCCGTAGCCGCTACCTCTAACACATCAGTAAGCTCCAAACCGCCAACGAACATGTCTGCAGCGTAGGCATTGACTGGCCTGAAGACAGAATCCTTGCCCTTGCCATTCTTGCCCTTGCTCTTGCCCTTCCACATGGCCTGCAGCTGCATCTCGGCCGCATAGCCTTTCTTGCCCTTGCCCTTTCCTTTCCCCTGGGACGAGAAGTTCAGGTCCCAAGGCTCGTGGTAGTACGCGTCCGTCTCCATGGAGTAGCCGCTCTTGCCGCCGTACGACTTGCCCTTGAAGGATCCATGGGGTCGCCGTTGTGGGCAATCACGCACCATGTGGTTGCCACCGCAATTAAAGCACTTCGTAGGTCCTCCGAAGCCCCTGTCCTTGCGCAGCGCCTGAGTGGCGCGCTGCGCCTCGGTCCAAGTGCGTTGAGCTTCAACTGCTAAGCTTTCTGCGATGGCTTCCGCCTTCTGCGCCTCCTTGAGCTTGGGGTCATCCTCGTCCATGGTTTCGGCCACAGCAGGTAGGGCATCGGGCTCCCATGCTCGGCTGTCGTTACTCCAGTACTCTGAGTCTTCCCAGGAGCTATCTCCCAGGTAGTACTGGTCGTGCCAACCTTGGTCCTGCCACCACCAATCGTCCTGCTCGTGGTAGTAGCCGTCGTAGTGGTGGAAGGGCACGGAGTCGGTGGAGCCGTCCAACATGTTCATGTGCACCGTGTTGTGAGACGACCGATGTCCAAGAAGCTGGTCATCCCACAAGTTCTGCAATGCTGCAGATACTACTTCGTAGTCAAGAGAGTTCTTTGTCGCCGACAGGATGTCCCGTTTCTCCTCAGCTGAAAGCCCTGAGGCTTGCAAGAGCCTCCATCCTCTGAGCACTCCCATGATGAAGGAGTCCGTGACTGACATCTCATTGACCACCGGTTTTGGTACCTCCGCAACCGGAGGCGACTGCACAACTCGTCTCGACGGGGTTCGAGAGGGAAGATCTTCAGGAACCGACCGATGGCTCGGTGAGGACCCAGGTGCTGCCCCACCACGAGGAGATCCTCCGTCTTCTCCACCTTCAGGTTCTGCAGCTCCTGGTACTTCACGAATCTCAGAATCATCGGGAGGAGGGTGTTCATCATCGCCGCCGTACTCGTAGTTCTCGTCGTAGTCGTACCATCCCCAGGATCCATTCCACTCTTGGTCCTCCCACTCCTCGTCCTCGACGGGAAGACCAAAGTCCCTTTGATCCTGTGCAACGCCCTCCTTCTCTTCGTAGAGGCGGATGATCGCCTCCACAAACTCCTCATGAACCAGAGTCTCCCTGACCAGAAAGTTCCCGATCGTTTCCGCCTGGTTCCTCTTAAAGGAGAAATACTGTTGGCAGATCGCCGCCGCGTTCGGGAGGGATTTCCTGACCAGAGGCGAAGTGGCCAATCTGGTCAAGAGAACCTTGACACCGTCCTTGGAGTCCAGCACAAGCTTCGACCAACTCATCGCCAAGAGCCGTGCCGGTCCAGTCAACCTACCAAGTAGTTGAGCTCCACAGTATCGACGCTTGTAGACGGGCACCGATTGAACCCACCATGCTACCTCCCGGGTGTAGCGCCTCCAAGATCTTGCAGCTCCATCCCACGATGGAACCACCGTCCGGTCTTTCGAGTCTGCCATTGAAGAACTGGGCAGTTCACCTGCCGAAAAGCAAAACACGGAGAAAACCACCAAGTGAAGTTCACCAGGGGGCGGTCAGTGATCGGTTGGTACAAGAAGAGGTCGGTTGATCAAAGACCTTGTTGGCTATGGAGCACGGCCCTGCGGATCGGCACGTGCTCCGCTACCAATGCAGCGGAGTAAGCTGCACTGGCGCGTGATTGGGCTTCTAGAACACAAGGGGAGTTGCCAACGTACTCAATCTCACCAGCACAAGAGCGCACACGCTCTAAGTCTTTTAAAGCACACAAAGCGCTCGCTGCTATGGCTCGTGATGGCTACCGAAAGAGGGGCCCCTCGTAAGCCTGAATGCAACATGAGCAGCTGCTGAATCACTCTTCCAACAGCAATCGATCTAATCTGCTGCAGTATACTATGATGTACCATGCTATTCTACCACATACCGGGTGTGACGCGATATACCATGGGATACTGTGATATGCAACATTACATTATGATATACTGCGACATACTAGGACTTACCGCAATATCCTATGATATTCTGCGATATTATGATACCCATGACATACTGTAATATGCTATCATATAATACGATATACCATGACATACTATGACATACCATGATATACCATGATATACGATAATATACTATATCATACTGTTATACTGTGATCTACTATAAACTACGAGAGCAGCCATCACACGGGGAGGCATCTGGCTCAGCAGGGCGAGTCGCCGGGAGCTGCTCGACTGCCAAGATGGCTGCTGACCTTAGGGTTTAGGGTTTAGGGTTTAAGGGTTTAGGGTTTGGGGTTTAGGGTTTAGGTTTTAGGGTTTAGGGTTTGGAGTTTGGGGTTTAGGTTTTAGGGGCCAAGATTGCTGCTGGCCTGGGAAGCTTCAACCGCCCTGGCATGATGGAGATAGGCTCTAGGGCCGTATACCATAGCATATCAATGTTATAGTAGATCATGGAATATCACAGTATATTATGATGATATCTTCTAGTATATTATAGTATACCACTGAAGGCTTATTTGTTTAGGATCTTAGGATTTAAGGTTGCAGCTGCGTGAGTGTTGGGCGTACGAGAAGGTTGAGGACAGCCCGCCTGGCAGCAGCATCCAGACCAGCATCGAACTGCACGTCGTCGTGGCCAGGACCTGCTGTAATATACTATAACAGACTATAACATATGATTAACTATAACATATGATATACTATAATATATGATATACTATAATATATGTATATACTATAATATATGATATACTATACTATTGATATACTATGGTATACTACCCTAGAGCCAGGACCTGCAGACTGCCTGGACAGCCCCCGAATCAGCGGCAGACACGCCTCGGAGGCACAAAGAAAACAGTGTACGTTTCATGAAGAATTAACGAATAACCCGAAAGGGCTGAGGGGAACCAGACATAAAGAAGAAAGACAAGGCTTGTGCCAGATGGTTCTATTGCCACAGCGGCGCCAGATGTGCAGGATGAGTTCGATGACCCAACCTAGAAAGATGCAGCATGGAGACTTGTGCTGCAGGCGGCAAGATTCGTTCCACTGGCGGCGATTTGCCACTCCAGCTACTGACAGTATGTTAACTTTCATAACACTGCGCTACACTGCAGCGGCAAGGGGAAATATCTTTCACCCAAGTGGCGGATCTCTTTTGCACACGATCATCAGGCACCCAGGCAGTATGTCAGAGTGGCATCCACGGCAGATCATAGTGCAAGCAGCTCTTGTAACAGCCTCAACGGCAAGCTGCTTTGCTCTTCTGGCGATTACCACAGGATCAGTTGCGGAAATACAATATTTCTCAACTGCGGCTCAGTCACGAACCGGCGTGCACCGCGGATCCTGGCGCTCTGTCGGTCGACTGATTCAGCCACTGCCTCATCAATTCCAGATTTCAAGACATCCTGAGGTTAGACGACGAACACCAATGCTTACCGCCAGAACATTCTGATTCGTGACTTTCAAGAGCTTCCAAGACAGCAGCCGCAATCTTTCGGGGGCGGAAAGAAGCCAAGCAGCTGTCGCCAGCGCACCCCCTTGTGAGACAGCAGCCATGAGCGTACGGTCCATTGGCGACTCGCGCCAATGACCCGCAATGCACGGCCTCTGAATTTCAGTCGCAAGCTTAGCTCCTTCCGGTCCGCGACCTCAGCAGAAAACCCTCAAGCCTCGAAACGCAAAATCTTCGACCTCTCGCACAGGCTTCTGGTCTCTCCAGGTTTGCTCGTACTCCTTCTGCTGTGTTGCTCCCGTTCCTCCCTCCGCCTCCCACCCCTCTTGCTCAAGGGAGATCATCATTCCCGCGCCTGGGCAGCGCCCCAAGCAGCTCCTGTGGCAGCACCCCGGCCTCCGCCGCTTCCTGCAAAGCAACGAGATGCTTTGGGGCCTGTGTCAAATCAGCTTCGCTAAGTTTGAGGGGGAAGGAGACTGCCGGTGTGGCTTTCTACATCTGCGTCTTCTTGTTCGGCTGCTCTTCCGCCTCTGCCATCGAATATACTTCCTAACCTTGTGATCCAACTACTCCTGAATGCATTACTCAACCCGTCAAAGGTGCCTCCAACTGCAGGAGTCGAGCAATCTGCATATCCTCTCCTCAGCATTCCGAGGTCCTAAACCGCCGGTTTGGGGCTTAGGATCTGAATTCCGAAACTCCACAACCCGTGATCCTGTGGTGCAAGCCTATGCGTTATCCGTCTCAATTCCCACAGAAGGGACACGATAGGCTGGGGTGCATGGGGCTGGGGGTTCAGAAACTGCTACTGCTACTCGTACAATTGCTGCTGCCACGTCCCGGGCAAGGGCTGAAAAGACTCTGCTTGAGCACAATTCAAGCCGCCTTGTGCTCATCTGTGCCAGCCCTCCCAACCCCTAAAAACTCTGACCCACAACAGGGCCGGAGACAAAGCTTGAAGCCGCAGGCCCCGACAAAAAACAAAAGCCAAGAGCCTTGTTGAAAGGACGAGGGCTAGTGGCCGTCACCATCTTCTTCAATGTCATCATCACCACCAGACTGCTGCGAACATCAGAAGCAAGAGCAAAAGAAGGGTTGTGAACTGTCACTCCTGAAGGTAGAACTCGCATGACTGCTGTTGGTCCAGGCTGTTGGTGACTACCAATTCACTAGCATGGCCGGCTGTGGATATTTATACAGACTCATAAATGTTCAGAGCTTCTGCCACAACCTTACTCATCCGCATAGTGAGAATGATGCCAACACGCAGTTCTTAAACAGCATACCCAAAAAACACCAAACCAGAACCCCAAAACCCTCAACTCTCAATCCCCAACCTCCGAACCTACCTCAACCTCTGCACCTCTAGACCCTGAGCCCGAAGTCCTAATTAGTATTAGTTACTATGTTATAGTACATTATAAAATGCATAAAATAAATTTAAGTACACTATAGCGTAAGAGAAAAATATACATACGCATATATGTATGTATACATATGTATATATATATATATATATGTATACATACATATATATATATATATATATATATTTACATATATACTTATTACTATTATCATTATTACTTGCTTATTTGGTTTAAAGCCGAAAACTACCCGCAGCCGATGATAACTATTGCTATTGTTACTATTATTCTTCTTATTGTCATTCTTATGATTTCTTGTAGATGGAGCCCCGGGGCCCCCAGTGGAGCGCCGGCACCGGCGGCTGCCGGGGGTTCGGGGCCTGGCCCATGTCACCTCCTGACAAGTCGTAGTTGCTGGCTTTCAAACGGGCGCGGCAGGGCTTACTAGAATATACGGAAATATGATAGAGTATACCATAATATACTAGAACATACTATAGCATACCGTAATTTACTATCAGATTCTATAATCGACAACAGTTTGCCACGCCATTACTTCAGGGCTTTAGGGTTTGAGGGTTCAGCCTTTTATAAGTACTTTAATCTTTTATAAGTACTCTACAGGCTTTTGGTAGCTCTGGGACTTTGGGGTGTCCGGGTTTAGGGCTCCCTTTCGTCATGGCTTTAGGGCGCTACTTTTTTTGCGCTTAGGGAGTTAGGTGCCAGGTCTTGCTTAGGTCTTAGGGTCTTTGATGCCCTTTTGTCGTTCCCAGGCTTTTGGCCGGGCCCTGTCAGTCTTTGTTCCGATTTCTGTTGGTTCTGGGGCTGGTGTCATGCAAGGGATGCTCCGTTGCGTTTTCTCTTTGTCAGGGTTCTTTGCCGGCTTCGTGTTTACTGCGTTCAGGGAGTATGTAGTCCTAAACCCTGAACCCTAAACCCTATATCCTTAAACCCTGAACCCTAAACCCTATATCCTTAAACCCTGAACCCTAAACCCAAAACCCTAAACCCTAAACCCTACACCCTGTAGGAAGGGTTGGGTTTCTGCCTCCCCTTCCCCATCCCTCGCCTCCTCCTCCGTCCCTTCGTCGATGAGCACCGCGGCAAGGCCCGGCCTGTCGCTCTCCTGGGCCGGCTTGGACTTCAGGGCCTAAGCCCTAGAATAGAAACTATAATGCATTTATAGGTAATATTCCTAATAATGGCAATGAATATAATATTTTTTGTAGTGAGCTTGGGGTTTGGGGTTTTTGGGGGTTGGGGAGGAGTCGGATTCGGGGGGGTTAGGGTGACAAGAACTGTGAAACCCTTGCTCTGCCATCATGCCGCAGGGATCTCCAGCACTGGAAGCATGGTAGATGATGCGGAAGGGTGCGAAGCAAAGCTTGGAGGCAGAGCACGTCGACGAGCTGGGCTGCTGCGGCTCTCAAGATCTCCCGGTCGTCTTCCCAAGTCTTCCGGCATGCGCTGCGCTTCAAGCGGCGGCGAGGACAGGAGTTCTACAGCCTCGGTCTCCAGGCCATCTCCGTTGACACCGCTGCTCGATCCCTCCTTGGGTCTGCCGGATCCTTCGGATCCGCTCGCGGACTCTGAAGGCACCGCCACCGGCTCCGAGGGCTCCGAGGGCTCCGGGGCCCTTGCATCAGTGGGCCCCGTGCGCCACTGAAACCGGAAGGGAGCGCCGACCCCGGGAAGGCTCGGAGGTGGGGCCTCGTCGGAAAGGTCGATGTTGCCGGGATCTACGTGTGGCCTGCACGGCGGAGGCAAAAAACAGCGAAAGCTGCCGAAGGCTGCGTGTTGCAAGCTCGCGCCTTTCCCTTTCGCTCTCCGGCGCATCCCAAAAGAGCTCCGACTCTGACCTCTCCTGCAGATGTCGCCGAAGGCACAGAGAGCAGAAAGCACTTCCCAGAACGAAGCTTGCCCTGCGAGCCTCGGCCAGCCGCCTCAAACGTCGACGTGGCCTCTCGACAGCTCGATCGACTTGATCAGCTGCAGGTTCAGGCGGCACGCCTGAAGGCTGCAACACCATAATCTGGCAGGGGAAGACGCAACTACCTACGTGCACGCCACCTGCAGCGCACGTAGTCACAGAATAGAGAGAATAGGGAGGGACTTGGAGGAAGGAAGGGCAGGAAGTGTTTTCTTGGGCCATGAAGACAAGAGCCTCATGAACCCTTACCCCTAAAGCCAAAGCTCCACGCCCTACAAACGACTTAAGCGCAACTCAAACCCAAAAACTGCAACCCGGACCCCCCAACCCCAAAACCCTGAACCTCACTTTGGAAGTAAACCCTAGACCCTAAATCCTAGACTCTAAAAAACCCCAAAACCCAAACACCGAGGGCGCTTCTTCGTGGCACCTTGGAGGCCTATCTCACTGACCTCAAAGGGCCGCTTTGGGAGCCGGCAAAGCCAGGACATGGCTCATGCCAATTACGGCTGCAGGGCTTGTGGGTTTAGGGGTTTAGGGTTTAGGGTTTAGGGGTTGAGGGGTTTAGGGTTGAGTGTTTAGGGTTTAAGGTTTAGGGCTCAGACTTTAGATTTTAGGGCTTGGGGTTTAGGGTTTAGGACTTGGGGTTTAGAGTTTAGGGGTTAGGTTTAAGTTGAGGGTTACGGGTTCGGGTATGGGGTTCAAAATTCAGAATTGCGGGTTGGGGTCTAGGATTTTAGGAGTTTGGGGCTTTAGTTTTGAGAGTTTGGGGTTTAGGGTCTGGGCTTGTAGGGCTTACGTGTTTTCGTGGCAGGGCACAGGACCCCCTTTTAGGGGGTCGAATACACCCAAGATAGCATAGTTACTGTCTATTGGGGGCTCAGGGCTGAGGGTTCGGGCAAGATGAATCCAGTTTTAGCAGGAAGTAGCTCCATGTCTAGCCCTGGCTGCTTCTCTTGAGAAGGCTCGCATCGTAGCTCATGACTGCTGGAAGCTGGCCGAGATGGGAAAACTCACTGACAAACAAGGGCAGGAAGATGACTCTGCAAGCAACACGGAACAGAACCCCACAGACCCAATCCCTAAGCCATAAACCCTAAACCCTAAATCAAAGCCAGCGCCTTCTCGGTTCGAGTAGTCCGCTCCTTGAGAAGATGCACAAAGGGTGGATCCGAGGGACCTCCTCGCTGCCGCCATCAATACAGGCCAGCCGCACCGTAACGACCGGACCTTTGCCGGGAACGTTCCGCTCACGCCTGCCCCGCAGCATCCATTGGAATCTAAAGAGGCGCCCTAAACACGAAAACCACATGTTGATGAAAAGCTGGAGCGACTTCTCAAATCAGGGTAAGTCTGACTGATGGCTGCGGCTTCGAAAACGCCTCACTGTGCGGTCAACAATTTTGGCCGTAGACCCGTCAGGAAGTGTTTTCTTGGTCTCAACCTCAGCAGGGCCGAGACGCAATAGATCCCAAGACCGAAGATACGTGACCACCCCTCTGTGGTCGAGACTTTCTCCGGCATCCTAAACACGATTGAAAACATGACACCTCAGCCCGGCACAATCGTCACGTTGGTTCTCGTGACCTTTGAACCACGGGCCGAGTTCATAGCTTTTCCTAGAAACTAGTTCATGGCTGGGGTAGTATTAAAAATTTAAGTTTATATTCCTTATTGGGTTTAAGTACCCTTAAAAATGTAAAATGCTACCCAACTATGACAAAGAGAAAGGGTGGCTTCTTCACTCTGAGGACCCTGCAGGTGAGCCGGATCCGGAGACCATCTCAGCTGAGCTCCATGGCCACAGGCACCAATAATGATGACAACAAGTATTATAAGTAGCAACTGCAATCATCATCGTCGTCGTCGTCATCATACCAATGATAGGGTCTGAAAAGAAGACATTCGGGACACTGCCGCGGCAGCAAAACGGCGCTAGTCATGTCACAGGAAGGAGAATCTTGGGCAACCACCGGAGATGACTGCAGCATCCCTGGCAAGACCTGAACAAGGCACCGCACCTAACTCTGCGCTGGGCTGGGGCTGGGAAAACTCTACCCTATACTGCTCTCGAAGACATGCTGCCAGCAGGCTACATACCATACTATACGGGAGGTTCCGAAAATTGGGGGAACCTTATTTTGGGGTCCTTATAATAAGGATCCTACTTTTTAGGGTACTATATTAGGGTCCCCTATTTTCGGAAACCCCCATAGTTTGCAGAGGGGAGACCCGGAAGCTACAGGAAGAGGCCAGGAGGCTGAGCGCGCAACCAAGTAGGCAACCACGGCTGCGACTGCTGCCCCGGCTCCTGCGACGGCTGCCTGCACATCCCGAGAAGCTCTTTCGGATTGGCTTCCTATGCTCGATTTCCCGGGTAGCATGTTATAGTTTCTATATTCTATATCATACTTTATTGCTTCCACTACACTGTATTCTGCTTCTTCTGATATTTTCTACTCGTTTACAAAAATAACATGTTGTCATACTGAATACTGTACTAGAATATGACGATGCTGGACTAATGCATACTGTACTGCTTATAACAATTTATAGTATGCTTTCTACTTCGTGCTGTAGCATGTCCTGGAATGCCGCGTCGCAGTTTAGTACGGTATCTCGTACAGGAGATGACACTGTCGCTTCCCAGTTATACTTCATCGTCCTACAGGTACACTGAATCCTGCCATATGCTATGTTCCTATCTTACGTAGTGCAGTATGTAGCAGTTGGAATGCAATAAGGCATGGTACATACTGTGGCACGCATGCGACTGAAGCAAAGTATTTTACATGGGTCTGCTGTATGCACGGTTCTCAGACTGAATCTGTAGTATGTTGTATCATGTCCGATATAGACAGTCTACTCTGGTACCATCGCATGGCCCAGCATATTGATCTAGTTGTCCCTAGTCAGCTGTGCACATTTTGCTGTCATGTTGCATTGCAACGACGTAAACAGAAAATAGTACGGTATGACATAAGCAAAATGTGTTATACAGGGAATGCTGTATGAGGTCATATGATACTATGTTGTATTGCCATATTCCCTACCATACAATATAACACAATACCATGCAGTCATATACCGAAATTCATTCTCGCATCTACATATATCAACCAGAAAGAGCGACCGGACAGACATCAAGTGAAGTCCCCACTGGCAGCCTTCACTAGGCTGTCGTTCCCAGCTGCTTCCTCCTTTGGTGCTGCTGGCTTTGACGCGGCCTGCTGCTTTTTCCACGAGATGGAAGAAGCGAACCATGATCGATACGCGGAACGATTGCCCGCAAGGGTTGCAGGATCATAAACAGCTCTACAGGAGCAAAAGAACCACCATGAAAAGCTTTGCCTTACCAATACCTTGACACAAGACGAAGCTCGCTACCAGACTGCGGCGGGGGATGTAGAATGTAGAATCTTGGAGCCATGGGCAAAAATCGCTCTTGCAGGCTGGGGGTCTTCTGACGCATAAAAACGCTTCTGTCAGACTTGAACCAGGGAGGATGTTTCGGCAGAAGCCTCGCGAGCCTGTCGTAACATCCCACAACGTGAAGCTTACGCATGCGCTGTAAACACAAAATGTGCCAAAGCAATCGGCAACGAAGTGTGTACAATGATTATTTCAACGAAAATTAACACTTGCAGGACTGTTGTAAAAGACACTGTTATGACAAGTTGATAAAGATGAATGCAGAAAACAATCACATGTTGCGAGGACTCTAGTTAACCCAGGGGCAGTACCACACTCGTCTTTCAGAAGAACAAACAAAACCAAGCCGTGCTTAGTCTCATGTTGCAAGTTGTCGATGAGGCGGTTGACCCGGCATTTCAAGTTGTTTCTGACATAGGTTGCTCACTCGAGGAAGACATCAAGCCGAAAAGACACTGAGCTCGAACCTTCCCAAAACTTAACCCTCAACATCCAAGCACCCTGAAACCCGAAACCCTAAAACCCGAAAGCTCCAATCCTAAAACCCCGCAACCTCAGGCCCCAAGACAAGCCCTCAAAGCGACAGGCATCCCCCATAGAAACCCTAAATAAACCCTTATAGTAATCCTTGTAGTAACACTTATTGATGCACTTATGGTAACCATTATAGTAACCCTTAATATAAACCCTTCATAGTAACCCTGAATACAACCCTTAAGATAAGCCAATTAAGTAGTTCTCTAAATTAGGGTCCCTTTTGGGGGGTCCTCTTTATAAGGGTGCCGTCCCGTACTAAATTGGGTACCGAGAAAGGGACCCTATTTTAGAGAACTGCCCTTATAGTAACCCCACCAAAAGCTCCCCTAAACCCTAAACCCTAAACCCTAAACCCTAAACCCTAAACCCTAAACCCTAAACCCTTAGGATCCCCGCACCCCGCACCCCGCCTCGCCCAGCACGTAGCGCACGCCCTTGGGTCCGATCACAATCCCGGGATCCTCGGGCCTCGGGTGCAGAAGGGCGGTATAGGTTTGGGTTTAGGGTTCACTTAGGGTTTAGGGCTTAGGGCTTAGGGCTTAGGGTTTCGGGTTCGGGGTTTAGGGTTCAGGGTTTAGGGTTCAGGGTTTCGGGTTTAGGGTTTTGGGGAGGCTTAAACTAAAGGGGTTTCTGGGGCTTAGAGGGTTTATCCGGCTCGCGGGTTCACAGGGCTTATGTCTTTTGTATTTTGGGGGGTTTAGGGTTTAGAGCTGGGCCGTGGCATTTAGGGTCTTGTTACACAGGACGCATGAACAGCTGCAAAAGGCTTTCTTCGTTTTTTCTATGAAGTTTTATACGGTTCAAAGCGGGTTCAAGAAGGATTCTATGAGTGTCCTACCCTAAACCCTAAACCCTAAACCCTAAACCCTAAACCGGGGGTGTTCGGTGGTGGCTCTGGGCTCTCGGGGGTTCAGAGCTCCAAATTCAGGGCTTCGAGGCTCTAGGGCGCGGTGGCTACTTGAGGGATTTGAGTTCTAATGATTCTAATGTTCACGGCGTAGAGTTCTCTCGTGCATATGGGAAGATGTGTGAATGTGCAAGTGCTTAGTGGCTTGTTTGAAGACCCCAGACATGAATATAGGGTGGACCCTTTCCGTGCTTGCCTGAGCTGAGTCCCGGACCCGACTAGCTCGCCACGAAACTCCACCATGACACCGGAACTGCGAGCCAAAAGCGAGTCTTGGGAACAGAAACTTCCAGAGGCCGCAAGGGTTCGGGGTTGGGCCTCAGCTTGCCGCGGAAGCGGCCATCTGGCAGTAGCTTCCACGCCTACAGTAGCAGGGGACACCCAAACGCGCCGAGCTTCGGATGCTTTCCTGCGAGCCCGCGCAGTCTTCAATCTTTCGTTTACCCAGCCCGCTTGCCGCCCTGACGTCCTCTTAGTTCACTGAGCCCGGCGTATCTTGTCGGTTTTAACTGCTACACGCGAAACATCGCGAAAACGAACCTATGCATCCACCGCCGGCCTCGAGCAATTGCTCCTTCGTAGACACCTGGCAGGCTGATCCACCTTCTGAGGAAGCTGGCTCACAAAACTCCGCACCAAGTTCTACTGCTGGGCTCGCTAGAAACCTCTACTACTGTCAAGCAGAAGACAAGACTCACTGACAAAGAGAGCATAGTTGAAAATTGATAGAGTTGGACGTTCCGCAGAGAGATTCGGGTAGATCGCAGACATGTTGCAAGAGATTCCAAATGGTGTCCAGACAAAAGGCGGAAATCATCGATGGTCGACCACGAATGCAGGCCACATCGGTGGGCGCCTCACTGCGCGAGGCCGTTCGTCGAGATGCGATGCCACCGGAGCCCTGTGCCGACAAGAACTTTACGCAGCTACCCACACTTGCATGCAAAAACAGATTATGAAACTGGTAGCACGTAGTTCAAGTCCCAAGAACTAGACTAGCCAGGCTTAGAAGACTTGGCAGTGTTCATGTCGCGATACGAAGGTTTAAAACAGCAGGACCACTTCGACACGAATCACCGCATGGAGTCCTGCTTTCTCAATGCAGGCCGGATCTGAAAAACTGGCGGCAATCGCACGGTGCTGCCGGGTCGACAAACCTGAGAGCCGATCGCGCAACAGCCATGCTTGAGGAACTTCGCGTGCTTCGGGTCTTTGATGCATCAGGGAAATCTTGGTATGTCAGACAAAGGGGAAGCCGTGACATCCCTGCGCAGTCAGACGGGCATTAGAATCAAATTTATCCAAGAAGTTCTTTTGACAGGCAGCGGCACAAGGCCCCAGACCCCCGCACCGTTTTCGAAGCCAGGCACTGAATGCACAACAAAACCCCGGCAAAACGAGCTATTGAAAGCAGTTCAATCCCGCGACACCACGGGTCGTCTACAGCTACTTGCATCCAAACTTGATGTTCCTGTCAGCCAAGAAAGTCTCATGGCTGCCGGTGACCCGAGGATTAGGCGCGCAGACGCGGAGCTTGCAGCTGCACCTGCGAGGCAACAAGTGTTCGACGGCACAGCTCGCATCGTAAATTGTTAAGAGAGCCCTAGAATGCTGTGATGCATGCTTCTGCTACAAGAGTGCATGGCCGATGCACAGATGTCCCAACTTTGATGACGGTCGGAGGAACTTAGGGGTGAGACCCTTTGGAAAAAGCTGCCTGCGCAGGACATGGTGACATTGAAAAACCACGCAGGTCCATGATCATGTACAGCAGGTTTACCGGAAAGCAGTACGCAGGCACAGGTGCATGATGTAACAGTGCTGCAAAAAAATGTTAAGGTTGCACTACCTTGTCATTCGAAAAATCAGAACATGAGAAGCTCTCATGGTCCGGTGGGTCCATTCCTGTGGGTCCATGTCTACTTCTCGCGAAGAAGAGCCCTTGAGCTGAAGCTGCGACAGTCCAAATCAGAGATGCTCTTTCTGGTGCAGCAGATGTGGGAAAGTTCAGACCCCGTAGCCGCACGGTAGGGAAGCAAGCTTCTTGGAGCAAAGCGAGGTTCAACACAACTCTGCACCAAGAACACCAGTGAACTGAACGTGATACTCTCTCACGAGCTGATGCAAACATGGTCTGCTGGCACAAAGGCAGATGTTGCAAAGAAGTTCTTTACAGATCTTGCATCTATCAAAAGGCATCTGAAGAGACGTCATGAAGCCTGCAGCTCATGATCGCAAACTCTTGGTATGGCGTAGCCTCAGCGAACCTCATAAGGTTTTACCAAGGACCCGCTGGCGAGCGGCAGGGCCGATGAAACCAGATGCTGAACCCTGAACTGTGATCAATGCCTTGCAGACATGCAGCTAGCCTGCATGTTGATTCCCACCACCGAGCGAGAAGGCGACAGCGACAAAATATGAAGGAGTGTGCTCGAACGGAGCAGAGGACATCGACATTGCGATCGGTGGTGCTTGTGGAAGCCCGCCATTCGGGCACTGTCGTTTGGAAAACATACTGTCTGTGGCATCCCGAACTCCAGACCGGCGAGTCAGCTTGCAGTGCTGCAAGTTCTTAAGAACTCCGAGCATTGTCATCTCGGAGATAGATTTGCAGGGACTCCCACTGCGGCAGTTCCGTCAGAGTAGCGGCTTCCTGCAGGAAGTCCCAACCAGGAGAGACGCTGGCCGCAGTGTCCAACCTGCAGCAGGATTATGAACTGACAGCTCGAACATGCATGGGCGAGCCTGAGTAGAGGCCACAGCCAGGTGTCGTCAGTGTCAAGAGATCCAGAACAAGCTGCACCAGCAAACTTGACCTGCAACTGGAAAGACCCGATATGAACATGACAAACCTGGAAGCAACCGGTCTGGTGCAGATTTCCTCCGAGAGCCATGCTTTGCAGTCGCTTCGTTAAGCGTTCAGCGTCTGCTTTGGATTATACCTGCAGCTTGAAACCTGCAGTAGTGTTTGCAAGACGTTCGTCGCTCTGTTCCGGGAAGGTCCGGCAGTGCTTCTGATGCAGTCACTTTGTTCAGTGTCTGCTTTGAATTGAAAGTGCAGCTTCGTGGAGGGGCTCTTTGCAGAAATACGGCCAACAACTTAAGAAACAACAGCATCGCAAGCTTTGGCTAGAAATTTATCTTTTTCTTGAAAGACTTTCGATTGAGAGTCACGTGCCCGAGATCATCCTTGGGGGGCGGTATGTTGTGTGGCAGGACCCCTCCGAAACTCTTATAGTTCAAGATCCTCGTGAGGTATGTAGTATGAGTTGCAACGGATCCATTCTGAGCTCTCACACCTTTGACTCCGCCGGGGAGTCCTCGTCCGGACCGTCCGGACGCTTCTTTCCCTCTTCGCCCTCTGCGCCCTCCTCGTCAGCCGTAGTTGCATCAGCATCGGTGCCCTCCTCGCCCTCCGCCGCATCATGCTTGCCAAATCCACCGAACGCAACTGCGGAGCTCTGCCACGTACTTGCCAAAGGATTCACACGGGCGTTCTGCGGGACCACGGACTGAAACACCACCGGGGCGTCGGTGTAGGTCACCTCTTCCGGGAGGTGCTCCAGGGACAGCCTTTGGCGCGTGGGTGCTGCACGGAGCGAAGCCACAAGGTTGAAGACTTCTTGCCCCGAGTTCTCCAGAGACAAGTCGATCACATAGACCCAGGGGGTCTTCTGGTCTACCAGGGACTTGTTCTTGATTGCCACGCGGGCCATGGGATGCGAATGCAGGGGATCGGCGGACATCAGAGTCACCCGCCAGCACGGCACCGGATCAACCATGTAAACCTTCTCGATCTTCACCTCCACGTAGCTGTCCCTGCCAGCCACGGCCTTCACGCCTGCGCGACCAGCAGTCCCCGGCTGATACTCGCTGAATGCGAACTTGCAGCCACAGGCCGCGAAGCAACCAACACAAGGCTTGCAGCAAGACTTGCAGCACGTGCAGCAAGGCGGACATTTGCAGCACTGTGGACAATTAATGTGGCAGGGTGGACACTTGAAGCAATCGCACTTCGGAGGACAGCATCGTGGACAGCACAGCTGGCAGCATCCGCAGCACGTCGCCATGCAGCCGTTGCAAAATCCAGCGCAAAAGGCCTCTCCACTAGTGGCGGTTGTCCTTCCTGCTGTGCCAGCCACGGCCGCCTGCCCAGCCACGGCCTTCACGGCGGCATGGTACTCCGTGGTGGTCCTTTCTTCAAACCGCCTGTCGGCGGATTCGATTACCTCTACGAGCAAGCCGTCACCACTGCGGTACAGGTACCTGAGTCTGTTCGATCTGCAAGCTTGAAATTTCCGGACACATCGCACTGGCACTCGCAACTGGCCGAACAAAGTGCATTAAGTGGCGATCCAACCAGATGATGTCAATCAGTGTCCCTGCTGCACACGTCACACCAATGCTTGAAGACCGTGTTATGATCACTGTCGCACTGCTCCTCACTGCTCCTAGTATGACCGATACGTACCCTGGTTAATCCCGACAATACTACCACTCGCGAGACCTCCTCAAGATACCTCCTCGGCGAAACGCATCCGGTTTGGGACTTTCGACACATCGAGCTTTTTCGGTATTACTGAATACGACTCCCGTGGGCGGGCAGTGTGACTTCCCCTTACTGGGTGACTTGCTCGTATCGCCTGAGCCACACAGCGGCAGGATCGCTACTTGATTGGGGCGCTATTCTCATATCAGCCTGCCTATCCGAGAGCAAAAGGATTTCCACTAAGGCTTCGGTGCCCTGGGCCAGTGCGGTGGACCTCGACCATGCGGGGCAGGCTGTCTGCATAGGCGGCTTGCACCTGGTCAGGAAAGGAAACTGCGCCAGAGACTAAAACGTGATGGTCTATAAACGCGAAGGAAGTTCTTTCCGGTAGCGTCCAACTTCGCTTGCCCCCATTCGGTTAGCTGCGCAGAACAGTAGGTGGGGAAGCAAAACCAAGCTTTTGGGGACACAACATGGCAACATGTGCAGCCTTCTTGCCGGAGGCCAGCCACTTGACATCTCGGAGCTCGCCCTTCAGCTCTGCCGTCCAGTCGATCTCTTTCAAGATGATCATGTTCTTCATCTTCAAACCCTTTGTGGTCATAAGCTTATCCATATCCATGCTCAGCAAGTCTGTTTTGGCTGGGATCTTTGCCATGATCTTCTCGGCGCCCCGCGGCAAGACCTTCTCAAAGGGGTGGTCGGAATCCAGAAGGTTGTTGGCCTCCAAGAAGAAGTCGAAGCCGCTGTTGAAGGAGAGCGCATAGAGGCCATAAAAAAGATTAAGTTGGTTCTCATGGCTCCAGCTTGGGTGGATGCCCTCCTCTGGAAGCACTGCTGTTGCCACTTCCGTCGTGAACGACTTCGTACCTTTGAACATTTCCTGCTGAGATGGAGCCGTGCCTTGTTGGGGTGCTTCACTGGGTGTGGTGGCCGCTGGAGGCGTGGTGGTGACGGTGTTGGCTGCTTCGCGGGTCTCGGTCTTCGAGCCAGTGAACCATTCCATGCTTGGCTTCGAATCCTTTTGGGCTGGGTTTGGCACAGCGGGCGGATGGGACTAAATCAAGCCAGAAAAAAGCTGCGCGTGGTCATGTCAATGCATGTCTTCTCCCGGTTCCCTTCTCCACAGCACGTGCGCTCTGTGACCGCCTCGCCCTCGCCCTCGGGGAGACCAAAGGTCTGGCTGCCAAGGGCACCGTGTACCTACAAAACCAAGAAACAAGAACTAGAAGACAGAAGGCACCTGTCTGAGTTCTGAAGGGCCACCAAGTGCAGATTGTGCGAACTGCTTGCAGCTAGCCAAGATAACCCCAACGGCAGGCCAGGAGAAGGAAGCTGCACGAAACTCTTCAACGCGCACGCACGTCCTTCAGGGCGGATCCATCGAAGGCCTGGCAGATCCTGGAAGAGCCGTGGCAGGATTTGAGAGTCCAAGTGCTAGGATGCACTTCCTCACCTACCAGGTGCCCGCATTACCACTCCAATGCAAGCTGGGCATCTCCGGCTGAGAAGAACCTACCGAGCTGCGAAGTGCATGCTTATGCATGTAGAAGCAACTTCCCGCATCTTGCCCTTTCCGCTATCCCTCTATCACGCACGCTCTTCTAACCTATTTCCGATAGCACAAAACACTCGATGAACTTAGAGCGGACCCTGCTGCTCTTGCCTTAGCTGAGCCCCAGACCCCACTCTCTCGCCACGAACCTCCACTGTGATATTGCAAGTCAACAACCACTCTAGGTACAGAAACTTCCAGAGGCCGCAAGGGGCTCCGGGTTGGGCCTCAGCTTGCCCCGAAAGCGGCCTGGCAGCAGCTTCCATGCCTAGCACGGACTCCGAGCTTCGGATGGTTTTCCTGCGAACCCGTGCAGTATTCAATCACTCATTTACTCCTCGTTCACTAAACTCCACACATGCGCATCTTGTCGGGATCGGGGGCACACTTAGCCAACCTGATCCACATTTTGATGGAGGTGGCTCCCAAAACTCTTCAACGAAAATCTACTACCTGGGCTCGGTACCTCTACCGTGGGCAAAGGACAAGAATGATCGACAAAGGAAGCATATCGTACCACAGGGAGGGTCCGTAGATCGCACGGGACGGCAAAGCCTCGAAGGATGTCCAACCAAAAGCGTGTGTCTTCGGAGCTCGCCGACAAGAACTTTACGCAGCTCCCTGCAACTTCCGACTGCTTGCTTATATAAAAGCTACGAACTTGGTACAACAGCAATTCCAGTCTCAAGAAATAGGCTTGGAAGATTTGGCAGCGTTGACGTCGTGATACGACTTGAAACAGCTGGACCACTTCGACACGATTCACAGCATGGAGTCTCTGAAACCCTAAACCCTCGAGTCCTGCTTTTGCAACGCAGGCCGGATCCGAAAAACCGGCGCGGCTGTCGCATGGCGCTGTCAAGCCGACGAACCTGAGAACCAACGATCGACAAAAGCCATGCTTCAGGGACGACATTTAAGCACGAGTTCGCGTGCTTCGGGTCTTTGATGCATCAGGGAAATCTTGGTATGTCAGACAAAGGGGAAGCCGTGACATCCCTGCGCAGTCAGACGGGCATTAAAGTCAAATTTATCCAAGAAGTTCTTTTGACAGGCAGCGGCACAAGGCCCCAGACCCCCGCACCGTTTTCGAAGCCAGGCACTGAATGCACAACAAAACCCCGGCAAAACGAGCTATTGAAAGCAGTTCAATCCCGCGACACCACGGGTCGTCTACAGCTACTTGCATCCAAATTTGATGTCCGTGTCAGCCAAGAAAGTCTCATGGCTGCCGGTGACCCGAGGATTAGGCACGCAGACGCGGAGCTTGCAGCTGCACCTGCGAGGCAACAAGTATTCGACTCAGCTCTGCCTGCGCAGGACATGGTGACATTGAAAAACCACGCAGGTCCATGATCATGTACAGCAGGTTTACCGGAAAGCAGTACGCAGGCACAGGTGCATGATGTAACAGTGCTGCCAAAAATGTTAAGGTTGCACTACCTTGTCATTCGAAAACTCAGCACATGAGAAGCTCTCATGGTCCGGTGGGTCCATTCCTGTGGGTCCATGTCTACTTCTCGCGAAGAAGAGCCCTTGAGCTGAAGCTGCGACAGTCCAAATCAGAGATGCTCTTTCTGGTGCAGCAGATGTGGGAAAGTTCAGACCCCGTAGCCGCACGGTAGGGAAGCAAGCTTCTTGGGCAAAGCGAGGTTCAACACAACTCTGCACCAAGAACACCAGTGAACTGAACGTGATACTCTCTCACGAGCTGATGCAAACATGGTCTGCTGGCACAAAGGCAGCTGTTGCAAAGAAGTTCTTTACAGATCTTGCATCTATCAAAAGGCATCTGAAGAGACGTCATGAAGCCTGCAGCATCCGCTCCATGCCTAACAAGGCTCCGGGGCTCGACGGCTGGGACGTCCCGTTCCTGAAAGCGCTTACCCGCGAGGAAGTCGCCACCCTCGCAGAGCTCTGGCGGGCTGTGGAGTTGGAGGGCGCCCTCCCACACCCGTCCTCGTTCACCCAATACGTCATGCTTCCTAAGAATGACAGGGTGGAAAGGCCGATAGGCTTGATGAGTACTTTCGTTAAGCTTGGCATCAAGTGCAGGTGGGAGCTCGCCAGCCGGTGGATTGAATCCCACCGAGGTGCCCTTTGGTGGGACTCTGCTCTCCCGTCTCGCAGCACCCACGATGCCTCGCTGAGGAGGGCTTTCTTGTATGAGGCCTGCAGGGTCGACAAGGTGCATCGGTGCACCATCTTCTTCGACCTCAGCACCTTTTACGAGCGCGTGAGCCATGAGAGGCTCGTCGAGGAGGCGGCCTCTTGGCAGTTCCCTCCGCTACTCCTCAACCTGGGGACGGAGGCGTACAGGGGAGCCGCATCGTGACGTCAGACTCCGTCGCGTCACCTTGCGTTTACGCCACGCGCGGCATAGTGGCACTCTGTCGAAACTCGCGATCGGTAAGCCCATCGTGGCCACATGTTCGGGACCGAGTGTCGACTTTGTCGGCACTTGGATAGACGACGTGTCGGCGGATGTGGTTCATAAGTCGGCAGACAGGGCAGCCCCGGACATCATCTCCCTCTTCCGCCGCCTGAACCAGGCACTCGAAGCGGATGGGAAGGTCTCCGCTTCCAAGACGCACTTCTTGGCAAGCTCGGCGGAGGCTGAGCGCGCGCTGAAGCGCAAGTTGGGGAAGAACGACCCCCCAGTGCGGCAAACCACCAAGGACCTCGGCATGGAGACAGCTGCCGTCCGCCGCGCGGCGCAACAAAGCCGGCAGGCGGCTCGCCCGGCTTCGGTCCCTGCGAAGTCCCGCCTTCAAGGTGCGCTCGAGGCTCTTCTCGATGAGCATCATGGCTTCTGGTAACTGGGGCCACCAGGCCCAGGGGGTCTCCCCGAAAGTCATGAAAAGCATCCGCCTTCAAGCGGCGCTGCTGTCTGGCAAGGTCACCACGGGCAGCGTCGAAGTGGCTATAGAGCTGGGCGGCCCTCTGGTCAGAGATCCCCGCACCTCCATCATAGCCCAGCACTGGGCTGCGCTGTGCAAGGTCATGCACGCGCTGCCCGACCGCGAGCAGCTGGAGAGGACGTGGCGCACCCTCTGGAAGCAGCTACAACGCGCAGACAGGTGGAAAATCGTCGCCGGCCCTCTCGGAGCCATGATCAGCTATCTCCTAACCTCGGGGCGGCTTCCCCCCGCCACTGGGAGTTCGATGCTGATCTCTGTCAAGCTGGCTTCGGGCCGAGTGGCTTTTGACCATTCTCATCATGCCATCAAGATGTGCCTGATTGCTGCGTCCGAGAGGCACCGGCAGGAGGCCATTAGCCGCCAAACAAGCTGTGATGACTTGGGGAGGGGGATTGACGTGACCGTCCCGCGGCAGCTGGCTAAGGCCAAAACCGCCAGCCTTCGCAAAGGAGCGCTTCGCATGGTTTGGCAGGGCGCCATGCGCTCCCGCCAGCCGCGGCCCGGGGAGAAGTGCCCCCTGTGTCAAGTACCGCTCACCCCTCTGCACATGGCACAGGACTGCGCATGGTGGCGCGGGCGCGCACCACCCCCGCCGGCCAATTGGGCCAAGCTCAGGGAGGCTTACCCCTTCGAGAGCCTTTGGACGAGGGGGCTTCTGCCGGCCAAGGTCACCCAGCTGCGAGTACACGTGGGGCCCGGACAGTGATGAGGCCACCGGTGCCGCGGAGGACCGGGAGTGGTCCCCCGAGTACCTCTATGCACTGACGGCACCGCCGGCGTTCACGGCAAAGACCCGCGAGGGCGGATTGCAGCATGGTCTGTGGTCATCTTTCGAAAGACGCCCGTCGGTGTGGAGCAGATCGGCGCTGCGTGCGGCATCCTGCCGCCGGGCACAAGCGTGCCCCAAGCGGAGGCATACGCTATTGCCAGGGTGTGCTCCCGCACCCCTGGAGTAGCGGACGTCACCACAGACTGCCTCAGCACGCTCAAGCAACAGCGCGCGTCGGTGATCACATGGCCATGGGTGCAGGCGGGAGACCGCCGAGCCCACGCCGCGCTGACTTGGGTCAGATCCCATGTCAGCGCAGAGGCCTTCAGCTCTGAGTTTGGGGCCACTGAGCTGTGGCGCAGAGATATAAATGAAGCGGCGGACAAGCTGTGTCGACAGGCGGCGGCCCGCGCTGCGTCCCAGGTCGAACCCTGGTGTCCGGGGACAAGCGGACGAGCTTGTTCGGGAGGTGACTCAGTTCCTTCAACACCGGGCGTCAGTGCTGCTCCTGTCCAAGGAGAGACCACCATGGGATCTCCAGCCTGAGGAGGCCTCCTCTCGGCGAGCAAAAGTCCTCCAGCCCCACAAGGGACCCAAGGAGCGACCTCCCCAGAGACAAAACCGTCCCGCGGCGGATGGAGGGATGAACAAAAAGGAGAGGATTCTCGTCCTCGTCAAAGAAAGGAGTGGGGGTCGCTCCTGGGAACTCGGCGCCTCAAAAAGCACGAGTGCTTCGTGTTCGCGGTGCAGCCTGTACATAGAGCAGGTCATGCCGCTGTGGAAGTTCGACCGCATCGCCCGCCACACGTGCATTCATATGGAGTGTCCCCTCCTGAGGAACTCGAGGTGCACAGTACGCACGACCTCCACCAACCTCGGCTGTAAGTGGGTCTGCAAAAAGTGCGGGGCCCAACTGGGACCTGGAGCCACAAAGCTTACCCAGCTCCTTTTCTCCAGATGTCAACCCACTAGACTCAAAGGCAGGAAGCTCTCCTCTCTTCTTCCCTCTAAGTCTCCTGCCCTCCCGAAGCCTCCTGTGGTTGGTAGAAAAGCCCAAGCCAAGCCTAAAGCGAAGCCTGAAGCACAGTCCAAAATTCGGCAGCTTTTTCAGGCTCAAAGCTCGCAGCCGGGACCACACTCGAGCACACCTTCTGCCCAAAGCCCAGGAGAGCCCTCAGGACACCCAAACGCAGCCCGAGCCTCCCCTCACAGCGTCCCTAAGCCCGGTAGAGCCACTGGCAGTAGCTGAGTAGCCCCGGCCGCTGGCCCGGACGGCCTCCACGGTTCTTCCGCGCGTGGGATGGGCCCTCCAAGCGCTAAAGGCCAGTTCTGGACTGGCGACAAAGGCAAAGGACGAGGATCGCCCAAGGGAGAAGGAAAAGGCGCAGAAAAAAGAAAAGGCGGAAAAGATGGCGGCAAAACCCCTCAATGGAGGCAGAGCCCTAAGAGCCAAAGGCTCTGAGTGGGGAGAAGGGCACCCGCCGCAACCAATGGGTCTCTCCCGTTGCCCTCAACCTGGGGGGCTGGGCCCCAGACCTTCGACGAAGGGGGGGCTTAAGGGGGGCTTCAAGGGGGGCTTAAGGGGGGCTTCAAGGGGGGGCTTAAGGGTCACCCCCTTAAGGGGGTCTTAAGGGGGGGGGGGGGGGGGGGGGGACGAAG